TTTTTTATACTATTGCTTATACTTTTTAAATACCTTGTTTTAAAGTGATACGCATATTTTACATGAGAAATTCATCATTTTACGTTGTCAATTATACATGCGCTAACTTTTTTTTTATAAATTTTAGTTGCACTCAAAGTTATTAAGTGAAGATTTTTATTTTATTAAAGATAATTATTTTTTTGTTTGTTTTATTTTATGTTTAAATAAGTTCAAAGATATCTTATAAGCAGTTTTATAAACAATGTAATTAAATTTAGCTATAAAATTGAAAAAAAAGAAAATATAAAAATGCATTAAATTATATTAGGCTAACATTTAAACAATTCTTGAAACTAACCTTTAAATTTACCTTTATACTTACCTTTTTATTTGAAATAGTTAGCAATAGAAAATTTCTTTAATATGAAGTCAATAAACAAAAGCTAAAAAAAAGTTTAATTTTTATTTAATTAATCGATAGGGGTCATTAACTTTAGCTAAACAATAAGGTTCAATAACTTCAGCTTAATAATAGGGCTCCTTAACTGAACTTTTAAATTTTTATGTTTTTGATAATGATCTAAATGAATGGTTGAATCGTCACTTATATATTGCAACACTTGTTTCTTTAAAAAAAGCCTGTATTCAATGTAGTAAAGATGTTGTTCTACATCTTACTCTGAATTTATATTTACATGTTTTATAAAAGAACATTTTTTTAACTCCAGGGTTTAAGTAACAGAATGTGTGGTATCTAAAAAGTAAACAGAAGTTTCCTTTAATTATTAATTGTTAAATTTATGCATAAAACCTTTTTCTATATAAGTAGCTAAAGTAAAGTAAGCAATTTTTTTTAATTCATTTTTGAAAAATATATCTTTGACCAAGTTTTTACTTTAATCAAGTTTAAAATGAGCATTTAGTTATAACTTTGTTACTTTTTAAAGACTCAAAACTACCTCAGTTTCTCAAGAAATAAATTTAGTATAAGTTGCTATGACAACAGAGATTGCTTTATCTGTCACTAAAGTTTATAATGCAAATAGCTTATCAACTTTCATTCATTCATTAATGAAAGTTTTTATGATAAACTGAAAAAAAGTTTAATGTCTTTGGAATGAAAATTATTCCTTCATCTTACTAAATCCTCTACTTTATGTGTTCTTGGATTTTTAGAAACTACATAAAAACCATGTATAATCCATTCAAAAGTTAGCATCTATTAAGGTTGCCTCTCCTTATCATGCTCACCATTTTCTTATTCCTATTTTTAATCTTTATAAATCTCATTTGAATTTAAACTTTCCTAACCTCTTCAGAATGCTTATAAATACATTTTATGTTTTTAGTAAAGCAATGTTTTTAGTAAAGACAGGTGTGTCCAAAAAATAACTGAATAAAGTCTGAGAACAAGAAAACCTCTAAATTTGAGGCCATCTGCGTTGATTGAGAGGGGGACGTGTGCATTTGAAAAATATTTTTATAATTTCTTAAACCAAATTGAAATTCATTATAAAATTTCAAGTTTCTTAAAAAAATCTTATGTACTTTAGAAGTTATGGTCATGTAAAATTTAAAAGCTCCTCATTTTTTTGGAAAGGGGAGGGATGGGAGGGGGAGGGGAAGTAAAACGTTTTTCAGTCATAACTTTTGAACATTTTTTTAAAATTTGAAATCTATAAATAAAACTTCATTTGCTATAAAATAGTACAAAAATATTTTTTTAGTTTTTTTATTTGCTCTATTTGTGTTCAGTGTCCCGAATGCGTTGTATTGTATGTGTTGTATTGTATGTGTTGTATTGTAGGTGTTGTATTGTATGTGTTGTAAAAAAAATTTTTTTTTTTTGGCAAAACATTATTTGATATTAGTATAAGTATGTAAAAATTTAAAGTTTGCAGCATTTCTTTACTTAAACATGATAATTTATAGCTATGCCCACTTTAAATGCCTTTTCTCAAAATGTGCCACCTGCAGGATTTTATTTTTTACAGTTTTGTGTAACCTAAAGGTGTCTTATATAGAATCTATAAAAATATTTGGGGTGTTCCAATATCAATCCAAAGGTCTATTTCTAACCTGTGTAAAGTTTTTTTTTTTAATATTAAATTAAGCTACTTATGGTAAAAAATGAGCAATAAAAAGTTCAACAAAAATTATCAATATTTTAACATTGTGTAAAAATGAGAAAAGTTATGACCATAAAACTCTGAAAATATTAGGCAATTCTTTAACTTATTTTCACTTTACAATCTCTAGTTTACAATCTCAAATTTACAAAGCTTTAGTAATGATTATAAGAATGATTATAATGGTTATTATAAACTACTAAGTCATTAGTAAAAAAAGTATTTTGATTTGAAAGCTATTGCTTTGTTATGATTTACCATATGAATATGTAACTTTTATTGCACATAAGAACTAACCAATTAAATGTTCCAGTGTACTGTGTTCAATTTTGGTTTAAACAAACTATTTTCAAAATTTCTATATATAATTCAATTATATCAAATATATAAAAATATAATTCAAAAGAATTTTTTTTGTATAGAATTGTGTAATGCATAGCTGTGTTGAATACAACTTCTTTTTTATTTTGAAAAAAAGAGTGTTAGTAAAAGTACTCAATAAAATATTTATGTATTTTCTTGTAAATTTAATTATCATTTAATGTCTTAACCTAATCACATTATTATAAATTATATAAATTATCATAAATTATATAAATTATCAATTATTTGAAATTGTTTTACATAATAGTTAGAAATGAAAAGATTAAATCTATTAATAAACGTACGTGAGTTAAAAGTTTTTTAAAAAAACTCAAATTGTTCTGCCACTCTTGTGCACCTATTCACTTGCAGTATAAAAAAAAAATTCACATTTGTGTAAAGTAGAAGAAATCACTCTTTAATCTCAAAATAGTACATTGAAACCTTTCTTATTGGATATGACAATGTTTAACAGAAATGTAATTAACACGCAGATTGATATTATTTTAGTTTTGTTTGTGCAACTCTGAGATTTAGTAAAAAAAAAACTAAAAATAAAAATGCCCTTAAACCTGGTACTTCAAATTTGCCTTGCTAGATAGGATAATTTGAGTTTATTTTTCTTTTTGGTTATAAAATGGAAAACTAGACATATCAAGCCAGGACTATGAATGATAAGTTTTCTGTAAAGGTAAGGAAACAATTCAGCTAAATTTCAGAGAAATGTCTCATTATTGGTCAGCCCAAGGTAGGTTTTAGTAACAGCCAAAAAACCTTATTTTGTTGTATAATGTATTTTTAACCAACACTAACCTAATAGTTTGATTTTTTTTCCCGTTTTTCACCTTATCCATTGGTCAACCACCAATAACTGACTTCCTAGAGTGTTTTACCTGAATTAAGTATCAATACGTCAAACACTTCTCAAATGTGTTTTTGCTTCAAAGTTTTATTAAATAAAGAAAGCAAAATATAAAAAGGTAAAGCAATCAACAAAATAAATGTTAGATAAAAATATCTTCATTGATGAAAATGAAGCTTTGCTATTGATGCTAGATTTAAATATGACTAATGCTGCATTGTATTGCAATTTACCAATGCTGCATATAACTACATACAATGCTGTATTTTAACTATATACAAGTGTTGCAATTAAAAGCAATGTATCCTGTATCCTGCATATAACAATATATAATAATTAATTTTCTTCAACCCAAATGATAAAAAAGTGTGTATGATGGAAAAGTGTGACCTGATTATACATCATTATAAAGCAGCATTTAATTGCTCACTGGCCGAAGCATGTACTAACACAAAATATCTGTTGGTAGTTTTTGCAACGTGGAAAAAAAGCATTATTTTTTATATTGTCATTTTTATTTGCCTTGTTCCATTTTAGATTACAACTTATGTTAGAGAAACTCAAACTTTTATTTAGAGAAACCTAAAACATTCGTCAAGATTATATTGTCGACCTTAACGATTTATTGAAGATCAACATTATATTGTTGACCTTTACGATTTATTTTGAAAAAAAAAAACTTATTTATTACTAATTGCAGAATCCAATTTGAAAGATAAGAGATCTAATCTTATAGAAACTTGTATCAAGTTATTGACATAGGATTTTTTTTCAATCAGACCATTCAATTTACAAAGAGAGGCAAAGTGCATACTGTAAAAATGTAACAAATTCCAGTTAATGTTGTTTCAGATATAGATATTCAACAAAAGATATAAAACTTCTCTATTTACTGATGATTTGTAATATGAATTATTTACACTCGTGCATAGATAAGATTTTTTGAGTGTCTCATTTTATACAAAGCACCAATCAAATAATGGCAAGCAAGAGGAGACACAAAAAAAGCTCATGTTAAAGAACAAAAAATGTATTTACATTAGAATTCCAATAAAAAAAGTGGCTTATTACTGACTGTACAAAGGAGGGTCAGGAACTTTAAATGACAGTATTACTGCTCGAAAAGCCTTTTCAAATGAAAATGTATTTGCTAAAACTAAAAGGAAGAACTAATTGTAAAGTTGCACATAATCTTAATTTGTATATCAAGTGGAGTCAAAATAAATATCAGTAAGTTTTTGCCTACTTTGTCTGAAAACTGCAATGACCTTTTCATGCTTGTACCATTGGTATTACATGCCTCAGAGTCTTCACAAGATTTTTCACAAGATTCATGGAGCAGAAGTAATATAAATTTATCATTGCTAATAAGTATACTTAATAAAGCTTAAAATGCTAAAAATGCAGATTTTTAAGAGCGTAGTGAAACCTTTTTATTGAGAATATTGTTTTTCGTAAAAGATAAAAATATAAAATCGTTAAATCCTCGTTAATTATTTTTTTTTTTAAAATAAAAGCAATCAGCAAATTTTATTAAAACCATAAAATTGGGATTAAAGCACATAACTCTTTTTTTTTTAAACTGTATTTAGTGCAACATAACTGTGTATTTTTATTTAACATATTAAAATTCTATTTTAATTTTTATTTACTCTTTTTTTAAGCGTCCTTTTATTACGAATGTTAAATGACATCACTATTCAAATTGAAAAAACCTTTTTAAGAGACAGCGGTTTAGTCGGACGGGAAAATATCAAGTAAGTTTTTGTGTATATATGTGTGTGTGTGTATATAAATATATATATATATATATATATATATATATATATATATATATATATATATATATATATATATATATATATATATGTATATATATATATATATATATGTATATATATATATATGTTTATATATATATACATATGTATATATGTATATTTCTATATATATATATTTATATATACTTATATGTATATATATATATATATATATATATATGTATATATGCATATATATGTATATATATGTATATATATATGTATGTATGTATGTACATATATATATATATATATATATATATATATATATATATATATATATATATATATATATATATATATATATATATATATATATATGTATATATGCATATATATGTATATATGCATATATATGTATATATATGTATATATATATGTATGTATGTATGTACATATATATATATATATATATATATATATATATATATATATATATATATATATATATATATATATATATATATATATATATATATATATATATAATAAAATTTTATCATGGTATTATTTAGGAATTACATTTATGCACCTTCAGCTTATAATAGATATGGCTCTTCATCATTTCCTTCAGTTGTCGATTCGTTATTTAATTTAACTGTTAACTCCACCCAAGGTAAAGATTTTGAAGCTGTTAAAAAAGAGCTGACATTAGTTGCTCTTGTTATTTCTTCTAGTGTTAACTGGATTGAGAACGGGCTGAGTTCGATCCAATAGTTTTTGTTTGTTTGTTTTAAATACATTTTAGATTATTTTATCATGAAATTTATAATATAAAAAAGAGTGTTTTATAAATGAGAGTATTTTATTATTATTAATGATGTATTTTTTTTATTCATGAAAAAACCGATAAACTTTTTTTATGCATGTTTTATTTATGACTCTGATAAATGCTACGGATAGTAAACATATACATAAACATATCATTTTTAAAGTGTTAAACAGTTTACTACATTTCACATTCAAAATCATGTTTATTACATTAGAATTAATAAAGTTTTAAATTCGGTTAGAAAAGGTGAAAGACCAAGGCCAAATAGTTCAATAGTTTTAAAATGAAGACCTATGCCAAGGCATTAAATTACCTTAAAACAAGGCCAAGGCTGAGGACTATTAACTTTGTATCAAATATCAAGAAATATCTAAACATTTGTTTTTTATTCTGTAGATATTGTTATGAAAAACGTATGACTTAATTATATTAATTGTGTTCGTTCTTCTTTTATCATAAAAAATTTTGTAAAACGATTAAAAAATTTTGTAAAACGGTTCAAAATTTTTGTAAAACAAAAATTTTGATCCGTTTTACAAAATTTTTTAAATCTTAATGTTAATTGTTTATAAATCAACAACTAACAAACCAATGATGTTAAAACGGCATTTGATAAAGACATAACAAAGTCCGTTACAGGAAAATTAAATTTACTTTGACATAATAACCACCTCAGGAATAAATTCCTTTTCATTGCCGACGACATAGGTTTTGCAATAGGGGTATAAATGTCAATTTCTAAAATAAAGTCCTCTACGTCTAGTAAATTTTTGATAAAAAAGGTCGTTTAAAAAACAATTCGGGGGTTAGTGCCCCCTGCCTCTCTCTGCCCGGTATTGTCGGCTCTGCTTTTTACCAAACAGCAAAAATTAATGCATAGTAAAAGTAAATGCCAAAAAACTTTTATTTGGCATTTACTTTTTTATACTTGAAGTAGTACCTAAAGTTTTTTTTAATCTTTGGGCAATCAGCCATCGGGCAAATCATCTAAAGTTGATCAATCAATTGGTATTTATAATCTAATTCTTTTTAAAAAACTTTTATACCATTTGATCAGGATCAGATCAATCAAAGTTGTTGTTACTTCAGAAATGTTATCAATTGTCGAGAGCGTTGTTCCAATTATCGAGAGCGTTGTTGCAATAGTCGAGAGCGTTGTTTCAATTATCGAGAGCGTTGTTGCAATTGTCGAGAGCGTTGTTGCAATTGTCGAGAGAGTTGTAGTTTCAAACCGTAATGTGTTAAAATAAGAACGCTCTTTACCACAAGGGATTTCAATAGTAAAATATCATCAAAAGAACATAGAGTTTTTCACTTGGTGCTCAGAAGGCTAAATTTCAAAAGCATATAAAAAAAAATGCATAGTATTTAAAATAGTTTAAGCCTCTAAAAACGCTTTAAATTTTAAAATTGTCCTATTGCAGGATTTAAAAAACCAAAGTACCCAGCTAGCACACATACGTTAATAAAACGTTAGAACAATGTTGTGCATTGCGTTGGCCCAAGATCGACCGCCAACGTTGTTTTTATATCATTTTATTTACAAATGCGACATTGCCAACAACCAAAAAATGAAGTTGGTTCAACGTTGTATTTTAAGTCGGCATTGCGAAATGTTTTACGTTGATTCAGCGTTGTATTTTACGTTGGCAAAATGTTGTATTTTAAGTTGGTTTGACGTTATATTTTACGTTTGCACAACTTCATATTTACCTTTTATCAGAATTAAACTTATTTGTTTTACGTTAAGCAAATACATATAAATAAAAAATACTATCAATTTAAATGCATATATATTCGTATATTCGTACTTTTTTTTTTTTTTTGACAATATATTTACATGTATTTCATTAAAACAATTTACAATTCGTCTCGTTTACAATGACGGGGGCCTTTTTCGTAATATATATACATGTTTTATAACAAAGATATATCGTAATAAGTATAGAAGGTGTATGGGGTTACATTTGAGGGTGTTTATAAAGGGAGCTTACAATTTGGGTTGTTTACAATTAGGAGGGGATATCTCATTGCATATTAACAAACATAATATATAATATATATTACTTTAAATGGTCAAAGTAAAATAAGATAAGTTGTGCAAGTTTGCATTTTAGTATGATATTCTTTTAAAAAAATCATGTTTATTTAGTTTTTCCTTATATCAAAAGCATAAAAACTTTATTGGCAAGAGTTAGTATTTTTAATAAGAAAATAATTTAAAATAGTTTTGCATAAACTTAATCGTGACAAATAAAAATTAAAAGGTAAAAAAGATCATTTTAAAAATAGTCTAAGAATATATGGTATTTACAAGTATCGCCCTTATAGTATATATAGATCGTGGCGATTAACCTACGACCTTAAAAAATATTCACACAACCTCCGCTATCACAGGACGGCTAAGGTCATGCCCGTGTTTGTATTCAACTATGGTTGAAGATCCATTTATTTTACTTTTGAGTATAATTTTGATCAAGACCTATAACTCATTATATTAATGTGGATATAGTTCTGATTGTTGCAATTGCTTATCGCATTGTTTACTTAGAACATTTTGTAAAAATTTTCTATATTATTTTCTTTAGATTATTTATTATACTGAAGTTTCCAAGTCAATTTAATTTCTTTGAGTATATTTTTAGCAATTAGTAGTAATTAGTAAGAACACTCCAGTGTGTATTCTTGCTTCTCCCCTGGGCATAAGAGTCAAAATTTCTTTGCCATATCTGTTTCAGTGTGATTGATGTTTGGAATTTTGAATTAATTTAATGCTCATGTTTTCTCTTTGTTGCAAGATATGTGTGTAAATATTTTTTGTTGTTTTTTAGGTAATGTTAAAGAGATCAGCATTACTTCTTTATAGTAAAACATTGCATCTTTATAGTAAAACGGAAGTGGGTTTAGCGACTTTGGATTACTGTTTCCAGTAAGGAATAGCCATTGGAGATATTTAGTTTGGGCTAATTTGGAGAGTATGCCAAAAAGTTTTAATTTAGAGAGTATGCCAAAAAGTAATTTTGCAAGAAAAATCCTTGGTGGTACCTGTCTGCTTCTTTCATTTGAAGTATCTGTTTTATTCTGATGGCAAGGCATTGGTTTTGCGCACCAAGAATGCCCAGACCCCCTTTATTAATGGGTACTTTCAGGATGTCTCTTTTGATGGGCTCGGCGTATCTGCTATGCAAAAGGTAGGTTGAGATTGTTTTATCTATTTTTTTAAGGTCTTGTTTTGAGATAGGAAAAACGTTTGCTACATGCCACACCTTTGACAGAGCGAAGATGTTTACAAAAGTTCCTTTGCACTTCAAGTAGAGGCTACAATATTTAAAATTTTGGATGTTTTTCAGAACTTTTTGTTGGCAGTGTGCCAGTTTATTCTGCTTGCGTAGGCAAGGTCTGTGTGGAATGTGATTCCGAGGATTTTCAAACCTGCCTGATTTGACCAGTTCATGCTGAAGCTTTTTTGAATGAGTGTTTTTATGTTGTTGTCATACCCTAGGTAGTTAAATCCGCTCAGGGCAAGTGCTTTTGTTTTATTTTTGTTTATATTTGATCCCGAGGCTTGGTCAAAGTCCTCGAGTATATTAAAGATTTCTTTTATTGAGTTTTCGCTACGTACAAATAGGGTGGTGTTGTCTGCGTACTGCATCACTTTAAGGTTTGTTTTAGTTCCTGGCAGCGGAATGCCATCTATAAGATTATTAGATTGAAATTCGAAGGCAAGCGTTTTCACTGCCAGGCAGTACAGCATAAGGAATATTGGGTCCCCTTGACGGATACCTTTCTCAATTTTATAGGGTTTGCCCATATACCCGTTGTTTATGATAATAGATGAGTGTTATTGTTTATGATAATAGATGAGTGTTATTAGATGAGTGTTATTCATAGTTTGTTTTATTGCGTTTATGAAATTTTGGCCTAAATTAAATTTTTCAAGGATTTTAAATTGAAAATTTCGATCAATATTGTCAAAAGCTTTTTCCTGATTGATAGTGATCAGGCAGCTTGCAATATTTTTTTTGTTTATGTAATGAATAACATCTCTGGCAAGAATTAGATTTGAAAATATGTTTCTTTCGGGTACTGAGAACGTTTGCGTTGAACCTAATAATACACTCAGGAGTTTTAAGAGTTTAAGTGCTAGCGTTTTTGCGATTATTTTATAGCCTGCGCCTAGCAGTGAGATCACCAGTTTTGTATTAGTGATTGGTTCCCACCTTTGGGTAGTAGAGAGAAGAGGGCCGTATATTCGTATTTGGACATACATATTTCAGCCATTTTTATGATGACTTAACAGTGATTATGACATAAGATTATACTTATTATATTGCATCTGATTAAAGAGGCATTATTTTTGTTGGTTTTGCTTGTGGCTTGATGTTTTATCAAAAAAAAGTATATATATTAGCAAAATATATTTTAATAACCAATTGAAATATTTTAACGATAAATAATTCTCATAAATTATACAAATTTGTATTTGTATATCTGCCTTTTCTCAATGCAAACTCAACGTTGATTCACTGTATAAAATCCAATGTTGTTCAAATGTATGTGGATCAACGTTGATTTAATGTATACACATTAAATCAATGTTGGTACACATCAAATACAAATTAAATCAACATTTATACAGATTGAATCAATGATGGGTTAATAACATTGGATCAACGTTGGGTTTAACTTGAAAAAAAAATCAAACTTTTACGATGTTTTTTATCGAGCAATATCTGTCCTTTCTGTTTTTTATCAAGCAATATCTGTCCTATCTGTTTATTATCGAGCAAATATCTGTCCTATCTGTTTTTTGTCGAGCAATATCTGTCCTTTCTGTTTTTTATCAAGCAATATTTATCTTTTCTGTTTTTAATCGAACAATATCTGTCCTTTCTGTTTTTTTATCGAGCAATATCTGTCCTATCTGTTTATTATCGAGCAAATATCTGTCCTATCTGTTTTTTGTCGAGCAATATCTGTCCTTTCTGTTTTTTATCAAGCAATATTTATCTTTTCTGTTTTTAATCGAACAATATCTGTCCTTTCTGTTTTTTTATCGAGCAATATCTGTCCTTTCTGTTTTCTATTGAG